AAGGCATTTCTCTTGACCTGATAGTCTATCTAAATCACCCTTTTTGACCCAAATCCTTTTAGGCGACAAGTTACTCTTAGTTAGCTTAGTAAGCATCTCAGTCAGATGACTAACCTGATTAGACAGAAAGCTAACCTGACTAGGAATGTTTTGACTTCTACGCTCATTGCCTAACTTGTAACATCTAGGCCTAGTGTGTCCTAGAGCACCACAGTGGTGGCAGGTGGGAATAAACCTAGGCTCAAAAGTATGTGTCTGAGGGTACCTGGTCCTAATGTTCCTACGTGATTGATGACTTTGTTCCCTAGGAATGCTCTTACCCTTACTTGGACTCCTAACCGTATTAGGCTTAGAGGCAGCCACGAAGACAATCTTAGATGGTCCAGCAATAGTTGTATTACCCTCAACATATCCTAGACCTCTCTTGTCTCCCACTGGCTTATTCATTCCCAATAGGTTATCTAATTTCTTAGTTCCACTAATGAATGTCTGAAGATGGGCATTAGATTTTTCCAATTCACTAGTCAAACTCTTAACCTTGTCTTCCAATTTCTCATTGACACACTTCAACTCACTACCGCTCTTAAGTGACTCCTGAAGCTTACCACCCAGTTTCTCTTTTTCCCTTTCAAGTTCGTCAAGCTTTTTAAGTAGGGATTTATTGACCTTCTTTATTTTAAGACTTTCTTTAAACAGTTGTTGATATGCTTCTTGTAGGTCTATGTCATCCTCATCCTCATTCTCATTAACAGAATTATCATTTGATTGCTCTTCCTCAACCTTATCATTTTCCTTATCAGACTCACTCTTAACAGTAGCCACAAATGCCATATAATTTCCTTCATCATCACTACTGGAGGATTCATGCCTATCACTGGTCTCAGATTCATTATCAGTAAGTGAGACAACTAAGGCCTTACCTTTCCCTTTTCTTTGATTTTTCTTATAGCTCGGACATTCATTCCTATAGTGACCTATTCCTTGACACTCATGGCATCTAACCAAACGTGGCTTCTCACTAGACCCCTTATTGTTATCTTTCTCAATTTTATCTTTTGTGAATCTGCTAGGGGCTCCATTCTTTCTATCCTGAGGCTTTCTCCTATTGTTGAGGACTTTTTGGAATTTCTTGACAAAGTATGCGATTTTCTCATCCCTAAGTGACTCAGTGTCAGACAATTCACCTTCTTTATTGGATTTTAGGGCTATGGATTTTCCTTTCTTGTGTTGTGAGAGAGTAAGTTCATAGGTTTGCAAGGATCCTACCAATTCTTTGATCTTAACTTCATCTAGGTCCTTACTTTCCTCAATAGCAGTGACTTTAGGCCTAAATCTCTCAGGTAGGGATCTAAGTACCTTTCTCACTATCTTGGTCTCGGGAATTCTCTCACCTAGGTTGAAACTCGAGTTAACTATGTCATTTAGCTTAGCGTAAAACTCATCAAATGTTTCATCATCTTTCATTCTCACTTCCTCAAACCTAGAAGCTAGCATTTGTAGTTTTGAGTTTTTTACTATTTTAGTTCCCTCATGTGTTGTTTCGAGAATGTCCCAAACCTCTTTAGCAGTTTTGCACATAGAGACTCGCCTAAACTCTTCTGGTGATAGTGCCATGAATAATGCATGAATTCCCTTACTATTCCAGTTACATGCGGCTAACTCATCTTTAGTCCATAATGATATGTCAGTGAGATGAATGTTTCCTGATACGATACTAGAGGGAGGTTTCCAACCATTTTGAACACTAATCCACACATGCTCATCTAATGATTTCAGGAATGCACGCATTCTAACTTTCCAATACGCATAATTACTTCCATCGAAAAACGGAGGTACAGACAGTGATTGACTCATCCAGACAGCTATGGGTCAGGATTCGAGATTTTGCTCTGATACCACTTGAAAAACCTAACGTTCGACCCAACTAACACCTAGAGGGTGGGGGGGTGAATAGGTGTTCATGCGGAATTAAAAAAAAAAACTTATCAATTAATTCGTACAACAAGTCACAAGAATTAAAGTTTGTCCACATTCATTCACATGTCTTAATTACCTATGTTGAATTACCGGTAACAATAAATAAATTAAAGCAATAAAAGAACACAACGAATGT